GATTAAAACAGTTTATTTTTACCGCAAATAATCTATATTTCAATTTAATCATTTCATAATGCAGTCGAACGTTAAATTATGGTATGCTGTGCTGTCTTCAGTTCAAGTCAACTCATTTCTTTGGTTCCACTTCACATCCCAGCTCACGGGCCTGTAAGCAGATGTCTCTTCGGTACTGAACCTCCTGTTGAGTCTGAACAAACAATATAAACAGAACAGAAAAAAAAATTAGCGAGCTCTCCTCGTGAAACACGCGCGACAGCAGAAGCGCGTGTGCCACGAAAATCGTCCCAGTGCCCCATGAGCTGGTCTTCCTCGCCTGGAGAACGAACTCAGGTGATGGCTCTTCCTCATGCTACGTCGACTTACGACATCCAAGACACATGCGATACTGCACGTTGGATACATATATCTTATTAACCAAGCGCGAAGGCCGTACTGGGAGAATATCGGCCCGAGGTCTTGACAGTACGGACCGAGTGCAGCGAGCAAGCTTGGTTAATAAGAGATTTATTACACGACTGAAGTTCAAAGGGACACAAGTGCGGTATCATTCGGGACCATTCGGGAGAGTGCCCAGTCCAATACTGAGAGAATATTGACCGGCAATAGAGCATTTTGATTGGTTGATTTTAGTTATTGGCCCTCTGACTTCCCGAGTCGTGTAATAAAACGTATGTATCACAATACCAAAAATAAAACAGGCAAACATTAAACAGCCAATACTTGGCTGTGTAGCCGCGCGATGCGGTTCCAGTCGAGGCCCACAAATTGACCCTTGCTCACCATAGAGTCTCCAGTAGCTCAGTGGTTAGAGCATCCGACTAGATCACGGAGGGTCGTGGGTTCAAGTCCCATCTGGGGCTCGGATTTTTTCTATTACACTAAAAATTGTTTCATTTAAACATTAAACAAACCCACAAAAACGCTAAAGCTACAGAACTCTGCATTAACCTCTTTAAAGCGTCTGAGGTCATCCATCTTCAAGATTCTTGCTGTCGGCTTTTGAACAAATTAAATAAATAGCTTAGTTATAGTGTCGTTTACGAAAAGTAATTGTTTGAAAACGTCAGTTCATACCTAACTGAAATCGATAATAGCATGGTTCACATCGAAAAGAAAAAGAACATCTGATGAAATAGTTTAACTTGAAAACTTAAGTAACTAATCTTGAGGGATTTTAAAAAAATTAGAGCGGGTTTAGAGGAAATTTAGGGTGACAGGAAATAAGTTTTCTACTGAAATTATAGATATACTTTTGGGGTTGTTTTAGCCACCTGATTAATAATTACTCCTTCGACCAAAACCAAAGAAAGGAGCAATACAACGCCGCGGTTTTCATCTTGCTTGTACCAGCTTCACACACAAACTGATTTTTTTTCTCAAAACGCCTCGAATATGAAGATGTACGTAGGTGCGTCATTCAGAATGGGATGTATCCAGCTGTTAAGGAGCTATATGTTTACCTCATGATGGAGAAAATCAAGGAACTTTTTAGGCAACAGTAAAAGCGTTTCTTTTTACGTTCATGTCATTATGACGTAATAAATGCTTATTTGACCAGAAAGTTAAAGCTTTTTCTCTTTTCTAGAAGATCATAGTCAATAGCTTGCAGCACTTTGAGACCATTTAAACCCCTATCGACAGGAATATAATTGACAACGACTTGTAGTCTAATTTCAGTTGGTTTCTGGGTACAAATAAGGCCACCGCGCTTAAAATGGAGTTTTATTCATAATCATAGAACGAGTCCTCTAATGTTCTTTTATCTGATTCTCAATTTTACCTCTGAAAATCATTGAGGATCGCATTGGCATCTTTTAACTAACTTACTTTTTCAGTTGATTCCCATATCTTGAGGACTCAAATTGACAAACGGTTTATCTATGGAAATTCGTGTACACAATGGCTCAAGTAGATCCAATTTGAGAAATTGTGCAGTAAATGGTTTGAACCCGGGGGTAACATGTGAAGGTGTAGTCTGATCGTCCGGGTGAGTGTAGTCCTGAGAAGGACTGTTGTCGGTGGCAGTGCCTGACGTTTCGACAACCTGTGCGGAAGTCATCATCAGAGTCAAGGGCACGAAACGTCAGTCACTGCCACCGACAACAGTCCTTCTCAGGACTACACTCACCCGGACGATCAGACTACACCTTCACTTGAGAAATTGTGTTTGCTTGAATTGGAACTAATCTGTGTAACGTTAGGCTTCGAAGTGAGTTATTTCTTAAAGACAACAAATATATAATGCAAACTGAATATCATGAAAATCGAATTTTTCCCGAAATGTTTTTGAATGTAGATTATTCTAAAGATAGAGTACCTCCCAATGTGCATCGCATTCTAAGCTGCTGTTTCGATAAGCACCCCACAGGAATATTTTTTCAAAAGTAAACGGCGAATTTGCTTCTTAGAAATTCTTCTTTTATTTTTCTTACGTCTTTATTGAGCCAGAGGAAGAGTTTTTCGTTTTTTGGACAACAGGAGACTTCTAAACTATGAGTAAGTAAGTAAGTAAGTAAACTCTTTATTCAAAGGGGTTGGCACTCGTAGCCAAATGGCTAATGAACATGTGGCCCTCATACAATACCTACGATAATGCTAATGCAAATGCAGATATCAACGAGTAAATGCATTATTATAAAATTGAAGAACGTTTGAATGATTAAAAAAACCTATGGTAAAATCTATAATACAAGTAGATTTCAGGATTAAATGACAGAGTCAGGAAACTATAAAAATGATCATCTGCCCTTCCAATTAAAAATTTTGAATAGAATATTTCTTAAATTTAAATAGAAGGTGTAACTGTTGCACTTTTAATGGTAATGGTTCTTGCAGGTTACGGTAGATATCCACCACCAGCCACCTCCACTTTGGTGAATAGTTGTTAAATAGTACCTTAACTTTACAAACCTTTAAAGATGAAGTGATTCATCATGAAACTGATCTCTTTTATTTCAATTCGTATTCCAGTTCGCTTCAAGTCGCGTTGTGCCCGAACAAACTTTGATTCTCTCGCTCTTTAATTTGCCCTACCTTCTTTCCAACTCGTTTCTTTCGTTTCTGGTTTTTTTTTCCTCTCCTTTTTTTTTTCATGTTGTCATATGTTGGTATTTAACATCGGCTTGAATAATTTTTTGGCATCCTGTTTTTCATCATCGGAATCATTTTGGTGCGATTTATTTTGATAAAGTTTCATCAAAATTCTCGGTTGTTCAGCCAAGGTGTGATAGATGGTTAACTAAAATAAGTAAAATAACTAAGTTGTCTCGTTAAAAATCGATTGTTTTAAGACTGATTTATTTATTCATCCACTTTTTGATAGCCAATAGCTCTGGTTAAATTCTTGCAAAGAGATTGTCTGTCCGCAAAGTTGAGGAAACAAAGAAATATTTTTTCCATCCCATCATCCACAAATTTTATTTTAAACACACTGTAACCAATATATATTTATCGTAAAGAACACAACCTCTTCCGGATTAAAACAGTTTATTTTTACAGCAAAAACAATCTTTACTTCAATTCAATTATCTAATAATGCATTCGTACGTTAAATTATAGTATGCTGTGCCGTCTCAAGTTCAAGTCAATTCATTTCTTTCGTTCCACTTCACATCCCAGCTCACGGGCCTGTAAGCAGATATCTCTTCGGTACTGAACCTCCTGTTTAGACTGGACAAACAATAAAAACAGAATAGAAAAGAAAATTAGCGAGCTCTCTTCGCGCGGAACACGCACAACGGTAGAAGCGCATGTGTCACAAAAATCGTCTCAGTTCCCCTTGAGCTGGTTTTCCTGGACTGTTGGACGAAAAAAGGTGATGGCATGCTACGTCGACTTAGGACATCTAAGACACATACAATGCTTCCCGTCGGATACTGAACGAATGTATCACATTACCAAAAATAAAGAAGGCAAACATCAAACAAACCAACAAAAACACTGAAAGTTACAGATCTCTCCACTAACCTCTTTAAAGCGTCTGCGGTGGTTCATCTTCAAGATTCTTGTTTCCGGCTTGTTTAAAAATAAACAGTTAAGTTAAAACGTCGTTTACCAGAAGTAGTTGATTAATAACGTCAGTTCATACCTATCTGAAATCAGTAATAGTATGGTTTACATCGAAAATTGAACTCATCCAGGAAGAAGAGAAAAAGAAGTAAACAGAACATCTGAGGAATCAGAATAACTTAAAAAAAAAAACAGTTATTGCGGGTTTTAGAGGAAATTTAATCTGACAGGAAGTGAGACTTCTACAGACTGAGATTATAACTATACCGATGTAGTTGCCCAATTTTGGGGAATCATTCCTTCGACCAAAACCAAAGAAAGGAGCAGTACTAACAACACCGCGGTTTTCATCTTGCTTGTACCAGCTTCACTCGCTAACTAATTCTTTTCTTCTAAACTTCTCGTATATCATGAGATATATAAAGGTGGATCAGTCGGAGTAGGATGTATCCAGCTGTTTAGGAGCTCTTTATTTAGCTCCTATTAATGAGTTTTTCCTACAGCAGTAAAAACAGTTTCCTTTTCCGTTTCCTTTTCACTACAATGTGATAAATACCTATGTGACCAGAAAGCTTTTGCATCTTTCCTCAAAGAAATTATATTTAATGGCTTGCATCGACAAAGGATGCACCTTTTGAACCTATCGACTAATAGTAATCGACAACGCTTTGTGATCTAATTTCAGTTGTTTTGTGAGTTGAAATAAGGCCGCCGCGCTTAAACTTGAGTTTTATTCATGATTATCGAGTTATTTCGAACTGTTGGATGTCGATTCTCAGTTCGATTTCTAAAATTCATTGAGGCCCGCATCAGCATATTTGATTTGAATTATTTTAAGGGCTCAAATGTATAGTAGGTTTATAGATGGAAATTCGTGGACGCAACATCAACCACATTGTAAGAAATCATGTTTGCATGGAACTTGCCTGTGTAACGCCAGGCTTCAGGGCTTTTTAGAGACAACAAAATATTTTAAAAAATTGTCTTGTTTTCCTCGAAAGGTCTTTTTGGATGAAGATTATTCTAATGATAAAGGACCCTCCAATGTGCATCGCAGACCTAGCAGCTGGTTCGATTAGCCCTCCGACTTGACTTTTAAAAATTGTCATCTGAGCTATGGGCTAATAGTTTGGGGCCAGGTGTGTAAATCATATCTTGATAAGCTTCTAAAGCTGCAAAAACGAGCTCTACGTTTTATCTTTTTTTCTGAATCAGCATGCAATTCCTCTATTTTCCGATGCCGTTATTTTACCGCTACTAATTTCTTATTATGAACTTACCGCTGACCTGATGTTTGATATTAGACACAAAAACGCGCCTAGAAGTATTCGAGACCTGTGCCAAGACATTTCTAATATTCACCCCTATAATACCCGATCCTCTGCTTCGCAGAACTTCTACACACAAAGCTCTAGGCTCTCTATTCAATTGTTAGCTCAATTGCTTGTTAGCTCAATTGGTAGAGCGCTGCATGCACTAGTATCGCAGAGGTCAGTGGTTCGAGTCCCGTACAGGCCTGATTTTTTTCAGGACTGATTTTCGCTATTGCATAAATAGCGCTATCTACTGCGAGGATCGTGCATCATACGTATCTAATACCGCAGTTCAAAATATATGAACTTCATATATTCATTCTATCTCATTTATCACTTTCACGGGTTTATTACGAATCAACTTAACGGCCTGCTCCCAGTTGGCTTGTTAGCTCAATTGGTAGAGCGCTGCACTAGTATCGCAGAGGTCAGTGGTTCGAATCCCGTACAGGCCTGATTTTTTTCAGGTCTGATTTTCGCTATTGCTTAAATAGCGCTATCTACTGCGAGGATCGTGCATCATATGTATCTAATACCGCGGTACAAAATATATGAACTTCATATATTTCATTGTATCGCATACGATAATGCTAATGCAAATGCAGATATCAACGAGTAAATGCATTATTATAAAATAGAAGAACGTTTGAATGATTAAAAAAACCTATGTTGAAAATCTATAATACAAGTAGATTTCAGGATTAAATGACAGAGTCAGGAAACTATAAAAATGATCATCTGCCCTTCCAATTAAAAATTTTGAATGGAACATTTCTTAAATTTAAATAGAAGGTGTAACTGTTGCACTTTTAATGGTAATGGCTCTTGCAGGTTTCGGTAGATATCCACCACCAGCCACCTCCACTTTAGTGAATAGTTGTTAAATAGTACCTTAACTTAACAAACCCTTAAAGATGAAGTGATTCATCATGAAACTGATCTCTTTTATTTCAATTCGTATTCCAGTTCGCTTGAAGTCACGTTGTGCCCGAACAAACTTTGATTCTCTCGCTTTTTAATTTGCCCTACC